TTGTTTGTTTGTTTGTTCTGTTTGTTTGTTCTGTTTGTTTGTTTGTTTGTTTGTTTGTTTGCTTCAATATCACCGTTTTTGGCCTGAAATCCTGTTATGCATGACATGCTGTGAAGTCATGTTTTGGATGTTCAGTCTTCGATTGTGTTTCTTTAAAGGGGAAGCTTTCTCAGTGTTTGTTTCATGGATTTGTTGGGGATGTTCTTGAGACTTGCAATGGGATATGTTGGGATCCTTGAGTCTTTGGGAGCTCGCCAGATCAGATCTGTGATCCGAATGTCTCCGTTTCCAAGTGAAGAACCAGGAAGTCGGATGAATCTCAGGCTGTCACGCGCTTGTCCCGTCCGCCTTGAGCCGAACCACCCCACGTCCGATGGAGCGACCGGGGTGTTCCGCGTCGAGACACGCGGTGTCCAGTCCCAGTCCCAGCCCAGTTTGAGTGAGACCATCGGAGATGGGCTGAGTTTCAGGAGTTTTCCCCCTGAACTCGGGTGGAAAACCGAAGTGCCAACGGTTTGGCCGCCGAAGGGTTTGGCCGCCGAAGGGTTTGACGGAAGAGACCGACATCCTGCCACCGAAGATTGGATCTGGCACGCGTGCACCCCGAACTGAACCCAGGCGCCCTCGGAATGCCTTCGTGAGGAGATTATCGAGTTTCCATTGGTCCTGGTGGACGCCAAAACCTTGACCCAGGCGCCTTGGTCCGACGTCTGGCGAAATCCCACCGTCTTTCTTGCACATTTCTCCAGCTTGCCGTGTGCAATTGGCACCAAAACTTCGTAAAGAATACACGTAGCAGCTGTTTCACATTCCAAGAATTCTAGAATAGCTCATACATGTCCGTTAATGAAGCGTAACGTCCCGCAACCCGGTGACCATACTGTTGCCCCTCAACCGTACAACCGTACTCCCCCACCCAATAAGACCGACCAACGGGCCGACGTTCGAGACCTTCGAGACCTTCGAGTTGGGTTGTTTTGGTTCGGTTGCAGACCGGGGGCATAGACTGGGACTGGGTGGGGCTGACGTGCCAGGGCTGAAGACACTGTTTTGAGCAGAAGAAGAATTTAATGTCAACCAGTCAACCATATAGTTTTCCGGTCACCGCGACCATTTGAGTGTAGCAGCGGCAATTAGAAATTATTCTATAGAGTCTTGAGCTCATGGAGATCGAAAAGAAGCATGGACAGCGCCTGACTCCTTACTTTCGTGAGCAGACAAAGCCCCGACGCTTCAAAAAAGAAACGGTCCATGCGCTGCGCTGCGACAGCAGCTCTTGCGCTGCGTGCTCAAAAGCGTCCGGCAAGGTGGATGAGTTCCGCACTTACGTGCGCCCGGAGCAGAACCCCACTCTGAGCCAGTTCTGTACCAAGCTCACTGGGATCACCCAAGAGCAGGTGCGGGCGCGAACGACCGTGGGGTGCTCGGGGACGGGGACCGCGCGGACCCTGTGAACCGGCAAGAAAGCTCCGACCAATGGAAGACCAGGTTGAATGGAAGTCTTCAGCACAAGAAGCCTGATTCAAAGCTGAGGTTTGGGGGATTTGGGGGGAACTCTCCTTCCTTCAAGTGAACTTAGATTAGATGTTCCTACTCAGCGCTCGTGACCATACCACGACCTCGTCACCTTCACCATCCGACCTTGACAAGGTGAGCTGGGACCCCAATGAATTTGTGTGCTCCAGACCTTTCACATAGAGTGACCCGCTGACTGCTGCACTTGATTCGGGGCAGAATCTGCGGTGGTTGTGTCAGGCGTGGGTTATATTTTGTGCTACAGGAAGCAGGCAGCTTTCAAGCTTGTCCCGCTTGGGTCCACTTTCGAAGGAAACCAACGGATATTCCAGTTCCACTGGCATCATCGCCACTACAGAAAAAGATTAGGAGCTGTGCAAGCAGCCCTTTCTGTGTTCTTTCCATGAAACATGAGGGCGAGTCATATTGGACATGTTTTTGCAGGTCATATTGCGGATGATTTGCGGGAACAAGCACGAGGGACTACTCCAAAGGCGTTTTGACGACCTGGAGCCGTGTCCTTTACTCTCTGGCGGTTCCAGAGAGTTCCAGAAACCGCTGGACTGGATCTCATTGGTCGGCGTTTGTCGAGTGTGTCGTTTGGAATTGTCAACTCTCTTCCAGAAGAAAGCGATTTGTCAAGGTCATTTGCTGCTTCGGTGTGTGTGTGTGGCTTTCATCACTTGGAGATTTCTGTTTTCACAGCACCTGATCCTCTTGGAGCCCTACCCATTGTGTGGATAACCTACTTGATCCAATCTCTACAAGTCCAAAGACACAGTAAAACGGTAAAACCTGGTCTTTTGCCTCCTTCAGTAATTAGTGTTCTTGGTATGACCAACTCCAGTAAACTGAGGCTTTGAATTCACAAGTTCGAATCTCACCTTTCCAAAACCGAGTTCCGCCTTTTGCTTTTTCGTTGCTTCACTCGTCTGGGAGAAAAGAACACAACCCCAAACTAAACACATGTAACACAGAACGGAAACACAAAGGATTATATCGGTTTTCCCACCATATTTTAGGGTTTTTCTGCACATATTGTAGGTGTTTATCCCATTCAAACCGTGTTTTTCACCTATGTTTCCCTTCCCCGTCTTCGAACACGTCTTCGAACACGGCGCACGTGCGAGACCGCGAGGTCTCGGAGGCGCCCACCTGGCCCACGGCCCGCGAAGTGGCCAAGGCCGGTGGCTCGGTGCACGTCGGAGCTCGCTGCACGTGGGGCACGTCTCGCTTCATGAGGCTTCGGAGGTGTTTTTGAGGCCACCCGTTGTTGGAACCATCCGTTTTGGCTTAGGGTTAAAAGCTGGCAAAACCTTAATAACAATTAGGCTTATAAGGCTATAAGGCAAAAAATTCTGCAAAGCCCCGTCATTCGTCCAGTCAAGGGCGAACGACGAGATGTGGCCAAAGGCTGACTAGCTCATCTATATTTTGCTATTGGGACTGTCCTATTGCCTGTACTGCAGAGCCGTTGGGTTTCACAAGAACATCACGATGTAAGATTTGGCCTGCAACTGAAGCATCATCATCCACTGGGCTCTGGTAATGAAATGGGATATAGTGATATACCCAGTTGATCTATGTTGCGTGGCAGCTGCATGGCACCACTTACCCTCCTCCCAAATCGCACCTGCCGCCTTTTGCACGTGCTCACGACTGGAAACTGAAGCTTTTTGCGCATGACTCCTGCGCGCAGGAGACACCTGCGCGCACACCTGACAGGTCATGGTCATATTAGCTTATATATATGGTCAGGTCATGGTCACCTGACAGGTCCTGACTGGACCAAGTTGTGACCATCTCACCAGAGACTTCGACTTGTCTCACCTGGAGCCAGGCCTGGCTCGATGATCGGCTCTCCGGCCACGGCTATCGCAGGCAGCTCTCGGTGGCTTGGGGGGACGACCTGGGCGGCTGGGAAGGCGAACCGAAGCACTGTGGTCGTTTTCTACTTGAGGAGCTCTGAGGAGGCCAATGCCTCCTCAACGTTCAAAGTGCCAAGGAGTTCAACTCCTCAATTTGAACGGTCCCTCAAGTGGTGGGTTTCTAGTTGAACCATTGCCCCGAAGAGCTGAATCCCTCCCAGAAACCTTAGAACCCAGATGATCTTTGTTTCGATTGGCGGCTAATAGCAAAAGGCCATGTTTTGCTGGCTTCTTTTGTTGGATCTTCCCTTTTCTACAGTTTGTGTTTATTTCTGTGTGTTTTCGCTCTCAACATCCAGTTTAACCCGAAGCAGTCGCGACAGTTTGAGCCTTTTATATCTGAACCAACCGCTCCCAGCTGAAAACTGTGAGCACCCCTCCCTCGGGCGCAGGTGGTTATTGGTGACCTGTGGAGATTGGGATTTAAAGACGATGTTGCCCATGCCACGGAGCTGAAGCGGATCGTGATGGGAGCTGATTCGCGCGACACCCGCTGGGAACCAGCCAATCTGGGGAACCCTGGAAGCCTTGGCATGGTGGGCGAGGTTCTTTTTGGTGGGATGTAACATGATGTAACATTCTTTTCTGGAGGGAGAAGAACCCCACGCATCATGCCGCGTCAGAGGCACCGAAGTGGTTGGAATATCTGAGGTCCGCTCAATGGTGCACACGGGCTGAGCACGGCTGACGACTGCGCGGGACATGTTCATACCGGTTCCACGCGTGGCTGGTTTCTGGGGGTTCTGGGGTTTCACTTCAAAAATGGACAGATGTTTTGGCTTGGAACGGGTTGGAATGCACACCCCTGATTGAGTGATCACTTGAGTGATCACACCGTGTTCTGGAACTGAAACCAAGTTCGACCCGGAAGTTGGAGCCTCTCAAGATCCCTTCCGGATGGAATCGAGGCGATGTGTTCGTCCAGGTGGCTTCACCCTGTTGAGTCAGGGCTTTGCGTTCACCCTGTTGGTCTCAAGCTGAGGCAGTGCAAACTTGCTGGTGAGCCTGTGCCCGCTCCATTCCAGACCTGGCTGAACATCAAGTTGCTCGGCACAAACATGTGCACGTCTTGAAAGGCATTGTTGATGGCAAATTTGAGGCAATCGATTCCGAAGCCCCAGATTCCAGGAAGGCAGAAGTGACACCTAAAGCGGTAAAACCCTGTGAACAAACGCATAAGGAAATGCAATAATCTCCTGATTCTACAGGGGCCTCGGCAGGTGTTTTGAAGAATTAACCTGCTGTTGCACGCAAGCAGTTGAGGGAACATGCTGTATTGAGCAACCTACAATTCTACATCTCATTCCAAGTCAAAGACCAGCCAGACCTTGGTTATTGTGTTGCACAGCCTCAAGCACACTTCCCATTCGAGTACCTTCCAGAACCATGAAGTGCAGGTTGAAGGAGGCCACAGGTGATTCACCTGAATCATATGCCCACCCACAATTCCCTGATTCCCTGCTAGTGTTCTTGGTGAAACATGATGAAACATGTTCTGGTGTAAAGTTCTCCATGACTATAGCTTAGTGGTCAAAACCCTGGAGACAGAGTCTAGTCTGACGGGAAGTCTCCCTACAGCAGCCCCAAAAGCACAACATAAAGCACCTTTTTGAACTACAGACCTAGTAAAAAATGTGTGTGTGTGTCCATATCCTTGTGCCCAGTCAATGAAAGAGAATGGACTCCTATGTGTGAGAATGGTCTCTTCAAGCAAATCATCATTCCGGTCTCAAAAAAAAGGAGAAGGTTAAGCCTTAACCTATATGACTCATGAACCTACATCATCACTCCCATGTGGTTTTCACCGAGGAGTCCAACCGGCTTCTTCGCTTCACCGGTGCTAAGTCGCCTTCGGCCGAAGTCACAGGCGACTCTTCAGCGAAGTCACCGGAGAGAAAGCCACGGGCATGGAAGGCGTGCCTCGCAGGGCGAACGGTCCGTGAACCGGTGGATGCGCTGCGCTGCATGGGCGGTTTCCGCCTGAAGAGGGGCAACGTGTTGGATCCATGTGATCGTTTTTCTGGGGGCAAGCTGCTGGATCTGTTGATCTGACTTCTTTTGAGATCGAACCCTTTTTGACGCGCGGGCTTTCTTCGCGCAATCGCGAGGCATGCTGGAGGTGTTACATTTGGAGCTGGAGGGCCGGCACCATTGTGGTTTGGACGACTGCAAAAACATTGCCAGGACCGGGGTAGTGGTAGTGGTAGTGGTAGTGTTAGTGGTCGTCGTCGTCCTGGCAGGATTCTGGAGGAGCTGCTGAAGAGAGGTGGAACCATCAAGGAGTCCGGAGCGGAGCTTGTTCAATTATTGAGCTTGTTGCAAGACGGGGTGACTGTAGAATTTGTGGTTTATACTTTTGGAAGAAGCTGTGGGGCACGGGTTCTTCAAAGTGACCTTTTTATATGTTGGTTTGAGGTTTGAGCTTCAGTTAGAGAATGGCAAAGGGTCACTTTGAAGAACCTGGACAAGAGATGGTGAACTGGGATTAAGCTTCGGTTGGTGCATCAACTGGAGTACGACACCAAACACCATCCTTAGACGGGTCGCTTTTCAGCGGCCAGTTCGGGATGACTGGGGATGCAGGGCACCACCTTGTTTCAAGTGTTTCGAATTGTGTGGGTGTTCTCCACGCTTGCCAAGCGTTTTGGACGGGGGGACCACATTGCATCAGCATATTGAGCGTTGTTGAGCCTCGGTGCTCTTGATACATCTTGATACCCTGAACCAAACTCCAAAATTGGAACTCAAGACTTGATTCTTGCCATTCAATCCACTTAAACGTTTGATGCCACCTTGGATGAGTAGGAGTTCGGATTGGGCCCGTCCTGATATAGAATGGTCAATGGTTTCCCTCTTCGTTACTCAGACCTGCCAATGCCTGCAAGTCCAATGCCAGCCTGTGATCAGCAAGGTATAAAACCTACCCAATACATGCCTCCGTGTGATGGTGGATACCAACAGCGTAATCGGCATTTAGAGATGATCTGAAGAAAACACATCTGTCCGAACGCGTCCTCGTCCTCCTTCGCACGCCGAATTCTTCTGGGCCGGGACGATCAAATCCGCTGGCCGAGGAGGAGCTGCTTTGGCCGAGGACGGGTGGCTACAAAGGCTCGGGCAGGCCGGGACGGGCCGGTCCAAGGTCGCCTCGTGAGCCGGTAAAGGGCACGCTGACACTGGGAAGTTACGGATCAGAAAGATGGGATATGTGACAGACACTGGGAGAAGGAAAAATCATAAAAGATCCGTGCCACGTTTTTCTTGCTTTTTCCTGAAAGAGTTGTACCGTGTGATTATCCAGTCTATGCCTGTCGGTCAGGCTGTAATTTTGTGTGTTCCCACAGATTGAATTTGCCTGCCAATGATTCAGATCCATTGAAGTGAAAGTTTGATAGCTCGACGCAATGTCCATAAATCCTTCACACTGCTTGGTTGTCACCTTCAACATCCTGAAAGCTGAGCATCCACTGATATCAGTGGTTTTCCTAAGGGTCGAACTGTTCCACTTATCCCAGACCATCCATGTACATATTGACCTACCCCAAGGGGTGGTTTGGGGGGGTTAGGTCACCCGATGCATTTACTGTATTCATAGCATTTTATATATGTTCATATACATATTCCATACATGGATGGTCTGGGCCTTTGTCGTGTGAAACTTTCTTGGACGGTAGACCGCAGCCGCACCAGCAGTCTTGCCTCCGAGTGGCGCCAGGTGAAAGAGTGCAACGACGATGAGAGCGACTTCAGGAGATTAGTTTGGTTTTTGTGTGTTGTGAAAAACAAGATGGAACCCGCCAACCCGAATGCACACACACGCTCGAAAGCAAACTGCCGAATAGGAGACATTGTTTGACCGGTGGGGTTTCTGAGATGCAGGAGGTTTCTTATCAAGGGTCGTACGGCAGGTATCTTTTCGTGTAGCTGGACTTCGATTAATAACTATAAATCAAATCCGAATCCCACCTTTAAAAATATAAGGGTTTCAAGTTTGAGTCAACGCAGGAAAAAGTAAAAACAAGGAAGAACAGGATTCCATAAAAATAAAAACTCAATCCACAGGAATTTCTTTATAGGGCTACAGTTTAAGGATTTGGTAGGGAACCTCTAATTTGCCGAACAATGTAGGCCGGAGTGGACCCTAGAAAAAAATATCACGGCAAGAGACCCCCAACAGTGTGTGTGTGTGAGGTGTGTGAGGTCTAGAGGTGTAGCAGCAGGAGGTCTAGAGATCTAGACGCATTGGCGTGAGTGAGAGTGAAAGTGAGAGTGAGAGTGAGAGTGAGTGAAAGTGAGAGTGAAAGTGAGAGTGAGCATGAGAGTGAGAGTGAGTGAGAGTGAAAGTGAGAGTGAGTGAGAGTGAAAGT